ATATAGTTTGTTTGTCCATTTCCCCTAGCCGTGTTTATCAAGAGAAAACATCAGCCATTTTATGAAGCAATTCTCCCTTCCCTTGCCAAAAATTTAGAACATCACTTTATTTCTTACAACAGGCATTGGCTTTACTAGAAGTGGTACCTGACCCCTACCACATTGTACACTTTCTTCCTTCTGTTGAATTGCCTTCATTGTGCATTAGACAGATAAATTCTTACTTAAGCCTGGTCTACACTGGGTGGAGGGGGGGAGGAAATCGATCTAAGATACGCAACTTCAGCTACGAGAATAGCATAGCTGAAGTCAACGTATCTTAGATCGACTTACCTCCCGTCCTCACAGTGCGGGATCGACGGCCGTGGCTCCCCTGTCGACTCCGCTTCCGCCTCTCGCCCTGGTGGAGTTCTGGAGTTGACAGGGAGTGCGTTCAGGGAGCAATTTATTGCATCTAAATGAGACACGATAAATCGATCCCCAATAGATCGATCGTTACCTGCCGATGCAGCGGGTAGTGTGGATGTACCCTTAAATAAGTGCTTACTTCCTCAAAGCACTTTACAGAGCGAGGGTAAGTATCATCTCCATTTTACAGACATGACAACTGAAGCACAAGTTACGTGACTTGTGCAAGGATCTAAAGAGAGTCAATAAGTCAGGTCTCTGGATCCAGTCCTAGACCAAACTACTGTTCACGGACAGTACATTATACTCCTAGGATGCTAGTCACAAAGCTTGTTCTCGTGTACATCACCATTCAGAAGGTTTTATAATTTTGTTGCAGATCCCCTCATGCTGGAATTGTGTCCTCAATTCACATGTGCCAAATGTAGAATGTTTTTCTATATAACATACACAATTTAGGAATATTACTCAAAAGCGTCTTACATGCAGCCACGGGTGGAACTCAAAGGTTCTCCCACCCAAGAAATAATGGAGCAAAGATGGGGAGTTAATTTTGGAGGCGCAACATGTTAAAGCCAAAATAATGTTTTTTGCATTTGAACTCTAAAAAGGGTGAAGTTCAAATTAAGGAAATCAATAGGCCCAGGGCAGCTTCTGAGCTGGGCAAGCACACACCAATCCTGTCAGCTCTGCCTCAAGTTTATATTAACCAGACAGGCTACAACTGGAAACTCATCTTTACCAGGGAGCCAGGCTGAGATGTTGGCACAGCTGTGAAGCGGCTTGTTAACAGCTGCTGAAAGCCCAGGTCAGGGGAAGATCATTGGTTTGGGGGTGTACATGTACATTGTGTTTGCAAAGTTCATTCTGATTTTTGGTGGTTTAGTTAAATTATTGCTATTTTCCTTGAGTTTCATATAAAACCTGCCCACCCCTCACTTCTGGGGAAGAGCCCCCAGTGACCATGAAGGTTTTTTAGGGGCTGTCAGGCAATTTTTTAACATTCCAAAACCCACTTTGGGGCAGTGGCCACTGTATTGTATTTGAAAATAGGTTTTTATTTTTGCTTTAACCTATACACAAGTCAAGTGTATAAGCTGGTCTACACTACAGTTAAGTCTACAGAAGCTGCCTTATGTTGACCTAAGTCAGTGTACACACCTACAGCCTTGCTTCCGCCACTGTAAGTGCCCTACACCGACGCAACTCCAGGAGAGGCATAAGTGGAGCCGTGAAGTTGACAAGAAAGCCTGGCTCCCCAGCTGGGCTGACCCCCAGGCTCGCCGCTGGGAGCTCTGCTTCCCCCTGGGGTCCCAGCTCCCCCGAGGCTCCCAGCTTGGAGGCTGGCTCCCCCTGCAGGCTCTTGATTCCCTGCTGGAAGCATGGCAGCCAACTGGACTGTGGGCACAGATCTCCCTCCTGGAAGTGAGAAACCCCAGCTGGGAGCAGGAAGGCTCCCGGCAGGGATCTGCGTGGAGCTGAGAGCACTGGATCTCAGCCCCCGCACACTGCCCCTCTTCCGTTGATGAAAGTGCACCTGGTGAGTGCACGTACCACCGACAGAAGGAGGGTAGGGTGGACATCAGCCACTGCCGTTATTACTAACTTAGGTTGACTAAAGATTGTAGTGTGGACATGCCCTTGGTTTATGAATATCTTAGCAATGGCATAAGAAGCACCTTAGATCACTTGGAAGCATAGATTGTTGATCTCATTAAGCTCACTTGAAGGCATCCAAACCTTCAACTTCTATGCTTTTCTTGCTATACACCGTTAATGCTTACTTGAGCCTTTTTGTTGCACAGTTGTAGATCTGCAACAACAAAGCAGGTTTTATAGCCATGCTGGAGTACAATCTTGTCAACTGCACATTCATTAATCAAATGTTCAGTTAAAATTAGTATGTTTCAAACCCCATCCAGAGGCATTCAGCTCAGACTGGCTAAGGTTGAATATGGAGTGTCTAAAGTGGAGATTGTACCTATTAAGTATTGTCCCTGTTCACATGACAGACTGGAAACAATATATAAATAAATACCTGAAATTCAGAATGCTAGGGACCAGAAATTTTCATTTGGTCCCTTTAGATAAAATAAAGAAATACCACCACTATGTAAGAATTTTATTGTCTGCCTGTAACAAGTAAAAGCACTTTTCTGATTTGAGGTAAAACCATTAGAAGTAGTCTACAAGGAGTATAAATGGCTTTAAAAAGCAACACAAAGCCCATAACTAGTTTTACATTAGCCTAGCCCCTCCCTACATGGTTCATATAATAATATTTTAGCAAGCTACCTGTGCAAACAACTGCCCTCTTTGTTTTAAGGCCTAGTGTTACAAAAAGACAAATGCCATCAAAGTGGTTCCCAGAGTATGGATTGAGAACAGTCATTCTGAACAAACACGGTCTCAGGTATTTTTACACAGTGCACTAGGTGGTGTTTACAAAAGCTGCTGCACCTCATGGAACACTTTCTATTTAAGAACAATTTTGCCTAGTTTAGGGAGTTTCCCTTTTTGTTTGGTGTAAGCAGCTACGCTCTGTCTGCTCCTCTGCCTAAAGTTTCCTGTCTAAGTTTTATAGAACATTGGGGCTGTTCTGGCAAATAGGATCATCAGCAACGAAGGATTTTGCAAGAGGTTTGAGCTCCCACGGAGCCGGTTTTCATTCAAAAGTACACAGTAGCAGCAACACACATCAGGCTGCTCATGATAAAAAAAAAAAAAAACCACACATGGGCACCATGGAAAAAAACAACTAAAAAAAAACAACTACATAATACTTTGCCTTTCTATAGCACTTTCCACCAGAGGATCTCTAAGCACTTTACATGAAAGAACCGAGGCTCAATCCCCTGTGAAGTAGGTATCATCCTCCTTTTACCAATGGAGAAACTGGAGCACATAGAGTTAAAGTGACTTGGCTAAGCCTACAGAGCAAGTCTGACTCTAGATCTGTGCTTAAGCCACCAGACCACTATTAACCTTTCAGTGCAGGAATGTGCCTATTGTAGATTTGCAATGTTGTCTTGAAAGTTTACTGGCCTAGGTATAAAACCCACTTAACCACCCTTTACCATGGTATTAATGAAGAGTTAAAACATTACTTTTGCTTAAAATATATATATTACATACATACTGCAGGCAAGTGGGCAAGAGTTCTGCAAGGTCGGCCTATTGCAAACTCACATTCAATCTGGTTTAAAACCAACCAAGGTAAAAAAAACATTTAACAAAAGTCAAGGTTAAAAAAAAAAAAAAAAGTGCCTCTCTTGTAGCAGAGGCTTAAGTGAATAGGTAACTTGAAACATGTCCTGAAGGCCAATGAACTCAGGTCTGTTGGACTCAGAAGGGAAACAAGCTAAAAATCAAGGACCTACGCTGACTTGCTTAATTTAATCCAACAGCAGGATCTGACAGAGAGGGAACCACGGAGAACTACAGAGCACGCACAACATTCAAGCAAAAGTGTTTCGACAAGGAATGCATTCCATGAGGGATCAGTGGGTCATTAACTCCTTGAAATTTCCACTAACAATCTGAAATATTTCTTCAGTGTCCTAACAGTATGTTGACCCTCCTCACTGGGCAAAGACATTCTCATTCCCCTTTTTGGTATGTGACTTGGTTACTCAGTAAGGAAGAACCTGCTAAAAAACAAGCCTGGACGTGAGTTATGAGACAAAGTAACACGCTAAAAAACAATTCTAGAGCCAGCTCTACCCTAGAAACTTGCTGGTATAGTAATGTCAGTTAGGGATGCCATGTTTTTTCAAATGACACTTCTATACCAGCAAAAGCATTAGTGTAGATGCAGTTGTACTGGCAATAAAGTGCTTTTGCTGGTATAACTTATTTTGTTCTGGGAACTGGGATGAACTGTACCAGCTTTAGCACTCTTTTGCTGGCATAAGCTGTGTCTACATTAGGAGGTTTGCCAATAAAAAAAAAATTTCATCTAGATTAAATTTTGGGATCAGTCCCTAGAATAGTTTTGCTAAGCGGAAAAGTGAATGAACAGTAGTCATAGCCGAGTCATGCCCCTCTCTAGGTGGGAGGTCCAACTTATAATCAATACCAAAATTTTTGTAACATTTCAGATATGCTTTAGAGGTAAACACAACAAAAATCATTAATCCAGTTACGTGGCTGTCAATAAACATGGGGTGTGTCTTCGCTGCCACTGGGTGTATTTCTGTGCCAGGTAGACATATACATGGTAGCTTTGATCAAGCTCGCATGCTAAAATAACATGACTGCCATGGCACGGACAGTGACTGAGGCTCGCTACTCAAATACATACCTAGGATCTTGGATGGGGTTGTACTCGGATGGCTAGCCTGAGCCACTGTGGCCACACTGCCTCTCTGAACAAAAGAGGATTTTTTAAAAAAAGCATTCATGTTCAGTGATTCCCCTATAGGCTTGTGGTAAATCTTTTTAAAATGTCAGTTTTATCTGCCATTAAAATTATTATTTATATAGCACCATAGATAGGTATGATGCTTTATGGACATGGTCCCTGCCCCACAGAAATTATAATCTAAAGCCCAGATCCTGCAAGCTCTTCCATTGAGTTCAGTGTAGAATAACTACTCATGTGTAAAGTTACTCTTATGCTTCAGTGTTTGCAGGATTGGGGCCTTAGCCATTAAATAAAAGATTTTTTGATTTCAACCTACTCTGATGGAAGAAAAACAGAAATAACTTCTTAGTACAAAGTTGCAGTTCACTTTTGCACTGTCCTGGTGCTTTTTGTCCTACAGAATGTTAGGTCATGCAGTTTTTATGGAAGAAATTTAATCTTGTTTATGTTACTGGTAAATTTAGATTAAGAATGGTTTTTAAAAGCAATCCAATTCACAGCAAGTCTGTACCTTTCCTAACTACTGTTGATGTTACAACTTGTAAAACAGAACTGGAATGTTACAAATGGTCCCTTAAGATACAAAAATATTGTTCCTCACTGCATTCTCTAGTCTCTCTTTTGATCTTTAGCATCTTCTTTTTCTTCTTCATCTGAGTATACGGTGGGTTCCTCTCCTTCCTTCAGCAGTTTGCCAACGTAGTGATACTTAACTGTAAATTGAGAAAAAGCACAGAATACAGATCATTCCTTTACCTCGTGCAACCTAATGTTTTCACTAAAGCAGAGACAGTGGTTAACATAGCGTTAACATTAACATCAAGAACACCAATTCTACATTTGTTTTGCCCACTGACAAAAGTGACTGACTTGCCAAACGATTACTACTGTCGTAACAAGCGGTATTTATGTGAGAAATGGGCAAAATAAATGCAAAACCATACAATTCTCCTTTTGCAAAAACCAGGAGTGACAATGTAAAGGCATTCACGGATACTTTTGTTACCCATGACGTTCTCAATTTCAAGGTCTCATGTTCAAAGGGAGCCAACTATAACAGTGAAGAAATGAAATCCCCACTTTGGGGGTGAGTGGGAAAGAACAACACTCCCCCCCAATTACACTTGCCTATGCCAGTTCTGAAAGCTAGAATCCGAGAATGTCAGGAGAACCTTGAAGGGTTTATATTTTCAGAGATTCATGGTGTGAACAGGCACTGGGAAACAGGAAAAATGTTCTTTCCGCCTGCATTAGAGATGGCACTATAGGAATTCTCCCACTGTGCACCGAGACAAGCCTTATTCCTGTTAAAATGATTCACAAGGAAATATCTAAGTACTGTAGTAAGACATATGCATAAGGAGGAAGGTTATGAAGCACAGCTCTCCAGATCAGCAAAGCCTTTTGGCAAGTGAAGGGAAATCTCTTACTATACTCCCTTCTATATTATAGTTTAAAATTATGAATTTAAAGGCAAATATTTGCATAATCTGCTAGAAGTTTGAGAACTACATTGCAGTTGTTAAAGTACTAACACTTCAGTCCTGGAAAGACTGATTTAAATGCTGGTTTTTGGTCACACATATGGTAGTGTAATACTGGTGTCTAGGACACACTTATCATAAAACCACCATTCAACGTGACATGATTAATAGCTTTGTTCAAGACAGGATGAGAGTCAAAATAGCAGCTGCGTCTACATGAGGAGGTTTTCCAAAATAGCAAATTAGGAGCGAAAAACCAATAGCATTATCTGGGGAAAACTTGGCTCTTCATGTTGGGCACCAAATAAAAAACCAAAAAAAACCAAAACACAACTTTTAATTCCCATTGCACAAAAAATACATTTCTGTAACTGTTTTTAAAATATTGATTATTTGTGACTAGGGGAAGTGATACTGTGGAAAAAGATCCTTGTCTACATTTGCTCCTACTTTTTTTTTTTTTTTTTACCCCAATTAAAGGTTTTTACCCTAAGAGGATTATTTCCTTTTCAACCATTTCTTTTAAAAGGACTTAATTACATTTAGGCACACTGAATAGATTATTTTCACATGTACTCTTTAGAAAGCTCCTTGATAGAAACACGATATACACAACATACGACAGGAACATATGAAAGTTATTGACTTCACAAGTTGATCATGATGAAAATGTCTTGTCTACGTCTGACCCCAGACTGACTGCTTAATGTAAAGTTTGTATAGTTTTCTGGTGTGAAGACCATGCTAACAATGAGCATGTCAGAAACCACAGCTGTGAAAGGACAAGTCGCACTTAAAGTTGTCTGAATGTAGGTATCTTAAGACTTAAGGGTTATATGCCACATTCATTTGTAAGTAGCGTATGTTATACCAGTGTAATAGTGGGAACACTAAATCAGTTGAAGTTCTAGACTTTAAAATTAAGTCTGATGTTCTTGTTTTAACACTGACCACCATGCAGCCAGACTGCTAGTAAAATTTAATGGTCATATTCTCTAGACCAAGTGTATATGGAATTTCCATTACATGTTTCTTACTGAAATGCTTGTTATATAACAACATTTACAGTCTGTTTTATGTAAATGGCGGAAAAAAAACACACACTTAGAACTTTTCTGGTCTAGAAACCCAGGTTAAGTGTTGTGCAGTTAATATTCTTCACTGTATTCTTCACGGTATTACTGTAGAGGATCATTATAGAATAATCAAACTCCTGGGTATAAGAAGCTAGCTGAGCAGTTTCCAACCTACAAAGTTTAAATTTTTTTTGTTTAAACAGTAAACAAAAACCTGGACCACAGAGCAGCTATAGCTGCTATATTTACACTGGAAGCCTTTAAAACAAAGAGCTGCAAATCAAAACATAAGAATGGCCATACTGGATCAGACCAAAGGTTCATCTCGCCCAGTATCCGGTCTTCTGACAGTGGCCAATGCCAGGTGCCCCAGAGGGAATGAACAGAACAGGTAATGATCAAGTGACCCATTCCCTGTTGCATATTCCCAGCTTCTGGCAAACAGAGGCTAGGGACACCATCTCTGCCCATCCTGGCCTATAGCCATTGATGGACCTATCCTCCATGAACTTATCTAGTTCTTTTTTGAACCCTGTTATAGTCTTGACCTTCACATCATCATCTGGCAAAGGTGGACTGTGCATTGTATATAGAAATACCTCCTTTTGTTTTAAACCTGCTGCCAATTACTTTCATTTGGTGACCGCTAGTTCAAAACAGAAGAGAGAGTATTGCCCAGATTTTTTAGATTATTGTATATTTATATCTAAGCCTGAATAGACAAGAAAAGTGATAGCTGCTTTAAACTTATTTTGTTGGCAAAGTCTCCAGATGTGAGCAAACAGCAGCCTGTCTCCCCTAATTCTGGGACTGCCATTCCTGAATAATGCTGCATAGTTAATTTGACATATACAGAATTTATTAATTTCACTCAGTATTCAAAGGCGCTTAAATGATTTTTGAAAATGCAACATAGGCTTCTGAAAGTCACTTAGAAGCTCCTGAAAATTTTACTTCTCTGAATCTTGTTTTGTAAATGCTCAAATAAGAATGGGAGAAACAAGGAGTACCAAGTGGAAAACATCCAGTTTTCCAGAAGTAAGCTTCCTTAATTCTTCAGGATGTTAGAAAAACAGAATGCTCCCATACAATGCCAACTAAATTTAACTGCCTTACAGGAACACTCTCTATGTGCAACCAGGTTAATTAAGACGTTAAAAGCAGTTTCATTCCCTGCCAATTTTTTTTTTCTCTCCCAGTTTTACAGTCACATTTTACTATTTGAAAAAGTGGTTTAATCTCTTCTCTTTCTCTGTAAAAAACCAAAATCAAACAAAAAGCTACCACCCAAATGGGGGAAAACTGACATTTTTTCTCTAATCTTTCAGTATTAGAAAACTTAACACAACAAAGGGTACAATATTTTCAAACAGAAGTTCGTTTGCAGCGTTGGTTCCAGGATATTAGAGAGACAAGATGGATGAGGTAGTATCTTCAATTGGATCAACTTCTGTTAGTGAGAGATCTTTTGAGCTTCTTCTTCAGGTGTGGGCCAGACCTTAAGAAGAAGGCCTCTTTGTAAGTTTATGTCTTTCCCCATCAGAAGTTGGTGTAATAAACGATATTAACCTCACCCACCTTGTCTCTTAGACATTTGATATAGCCTATTGAATGTCATCCACCATTATACACAGAAACTAGCTACTTCACTGAGAGTGCATTTGAAATTGCTTACAAGTGAACTGTGATTCCCAGTCTCTCAGGGTCTCTTGCTGCGTAGCGTTGAGATCAGACAGGTCATCATATTCATCCTTCAGAGCCTCCTTATCCAGACAGAATGTGGCAAGACCTCTGGATGCATCCCTTCCAGCAAAAATTCCATATGGGCCCTCTTTAAAATAAAAAAATGTTGGGGTAATTATTATGTTGCTGTTTCTTTGAGGACCACGTACCAAGAACCAAATGACATGCTGATCCCCTGACTTGAACCTTATGTAGAAATCCCCAAATAAGATTTGTATTGTAAAATTTGTCCTATTTTGTAATATTGAGCCAGATATTTTCCAGTACATACACACCCAACAATCCCCAAAAACAAAAACAAGAAACACTACAAGAAAACAGAATCACTAAAGATGATACTGAGCATGCTGGGACATCAGGAAGAGGAGACAAGTGCTGGTGTGCGGAGGGCATGGCAAAAGGGAGCGATGCACAAGGAGATGACAAGAAGCAAATGGCTTTCCTGGAGCAAGCCTAAGACATATGGGTGGCACCTGTAAAGACAGCTAACAGGAGTTAGTTATGTGGGAAGAGGAAAGCAGAAAGGATTCAGAAGTCTGAGGAGATGGAGTGCCAGGCAAGGGTATGGCTTTCTGACAAATCCTTCTGGCTTAGAGAGTTGACCCATGAAAGAAGAAGGACCTGAAAGGTGATTAGTTGGCTTGAGATATGGAGGAGAATCTTGACTGACACTACTCCAAGGATAGCGATCAGGCTGGACTTGGGTGCCTAGTAAAGATAAAATTTACACAAAATGCATGTAATGCACATTTTATAATAATCCCAAGGGACTGATGTGTACATGTCACAGTGGGTCAGAAGTATCTTATCAAGAGGGAGTGCTGGTAAACTTCATCAATTATTAACTTATTTGCAATAGTAAGCAGAATGTTTTATCTGTACAGAAGTAACAGAAAATTTGCGATAGCACATGTTCCAATGATACATTAATGCCTCTTAAGAGAGGCTGAAACACCAAAATCTGTTACTTGAGAGGCTGTGCCCACCTGCACTTGGGAGAAGAAGCCTTTTCAGAGTTTCAATAAATGGAATCACTTTCCTTTTCATACAGAGACTCAATTTCATGACTACATTAATAAATTAAACATGGTATTCAGCCTCTCATGTTCTGAGATGTAACTCATGAGTAGGTTTTTTTAAAGCTCTATGCTGATAGAGAACCACACATCCAAATCAATCATGTATATTACCTGACTGTTCTAAAACTTAAAACCTTACTCATCTTTACACACACACACACACACACACACACACCATGGATCATCTTTGCATGGGTCTGAACAGCACAAGTGGGGCTGTAATTTTGACTGGGAACAACTATCATAAAAATAACTCTGTTACTATATTATAAATATTAAATAATATAACTGTTTCCATCAAAAAGTGAATGTAATGATGAAATCAACAAAAGATTTCATGGGCTGCCATCTATGGCTTTACAAAGAAATCTTGTGCCAGGTGAACAAAACTGCCTGCCCCATCAGTATCATCATTTAAAGAGTTCTGTAAATGTGCATGGAGCTTGACAAAAAAAGATCAAAATAAAGTGAAAGAGGAAGATATACGCTGAGTGTACACAACTAAAAGGCTTGGTTCTGTACTCTGATGATACAAGTAAACCTACAGGAGGAGCCCTGAGTATGCCAATTAGTTTAGGTGAGTAGGAATTGCAGGACTGGCTCCCAACTTTATGATCTCATTATTATTACTTAGTTGTAGTGGTATCACCTCCAATTAGGCATAAGTTCACCAATTTTAAAGACAACCCAAATCCAGAGCCACTCAGAAGCAAAAGTGTTTTTCAAATAGGAAACTAGCGAGATTAAGCATTAATAAAGAGCATCCCCTCCCCCCCATGTGTTGTGCAGGGAATACAGTTCTAAATAGCTGCCTAAATTCCAGCAGACAGCATATATTGCAAAGCCCTGGGGTGGGGTACTTTCCCCTTTAGAGACCACCACTGCCTTTTATTTTGGCCCTTGTGGGCCCCCATATTGGTAGTTTTGTCTTGTTATCTAGGAGTCTCCTGTGCTCTGGAAAGAGGCACTGACTGTTGTGTAACCTACTACACCCACGGAGATTGCAGAGCAAGGCAGCGATTTGGGTTGTGTTCAGTCAGGCCCTGGGAGTTGGGTGAGGGGCTGGGCTTCTAAACTGCAGACAGAGCACAGATGGGCCTCTCTTCTCCCCCTCCCCCCCTCCCAATTCAGTGTCCCCAGTATAATCCTCTCCACAGACCAGATCCGCCAGTTACACAGGGAAACAACAAACAAGCAGCAGAGGGAGGGTTGGGGAATCTCTGCTAGTGAGATGGGAACATACTGTGAGAGACAGAACCCAACACTGCAACCAGATCCAAGGCCTCTCCCCCACACTGCTCCCCAGAGCCTCTCCACTGCACCCCTCTCCCCCACAGTACACAAGAGCACCTCCGCTGGTCCCCACTGCACTCCAGCTCATCCCCACTGCACCCCAGCACCTCCCCAGTCCCCACTGCACCCCAGCTCATCCCCACCACACCCTCCCCCTCACACTACACCCCAGCACCCCAGCTCGTCCCCTGGTCCCCACCACACCCTCCCCCTCACACTACACCCCAGCACCTCCCCGGTCCCCACTGCACCCCAGCTCGTCCCCTGGTCCCCACCACACCCCAGCTCGTCCCCTGGTCCCCACCACACCCCAGCTCGTCCCCTGGTCCCCACTGCACCCCAGCTCGTCCCCACCACACCCTCCCCCTCACACTACACCCCAACACCTGCCCTAATCCCCACACCCCCACAGCCTCTCCTCCTCCCCCAGTCTGCACCCCAGCACCTCCCCCTCATCCCCGCTACACCCAGCACCTCCCCCCACAGCTCCCCACATCCTCTCCTCCTCCCCTACAGCTCCCAAGAGCCAGCCTCCCCCCGCACCCAGCCCCTCCCGCCGCTGCCCCCCAGCCACCCACCGGGCCCGTAGAACTTCCTGGCGCGGCTCACGTCGAAGACTTTGCCGTTGATGGCCATGAGGATGCGCGGGTCCTGCACCCCGTCGTAGGGCCGCAGCTGCGCCAGGGTGAAGTCGCGGCGCTTGAGCTTGGGCGGCGGCGGCGGCTCGGCGGCGTCGGGCTGGCGCGGGGGCCGCTCGCCGCGCAGGATCTGGTAGAGCAGGAAGAGGCAGAGGCCCAGCAGGCTCAGGTTGAGCGGCGAGCTCAGGATCTCCAGCAGGAGCCCGCCGCTCTCCGCCTCCGCCGCCGCCTCGTCCTCCTGGGCCATGGGCTCGACTGGTTCCGCGGCTCGCCGGGCTGCCTCTGAGCGGCCAGCGGGGACGGGGAGGAGCGGCCAGCAGGGCCCGCCCAGCCCCGCCAGGGAGGAGGGACCTGGGGCTTCACGCCCAGGCAGCCCGCCAGGGCTTCAGCGAGCTCGCCTGGGGGCCCCGAGCCCAGCCAGGCCCGAGCGAGCCCCTGCTCCGGGTGTGCGCAGAGCCTGGGCTCGAGTCATAACAGCCGGGCTTTGGCGCGCTCCTCTCGGCCACCCAGCCAGAGCAGATGTCCTGATTTTACAGGGACAGGCCTAACATTCGGGCTTTGTCTTATATAGGCGCCTATTCCTCCTCCCGCCCCCGCTAGCTGCTCACCCTATGGCCAACCGCAGGGCCAAATGCCACCCTGGGCGGGTGAGCAATGTGGGCTCCTGGTTTCTTTGTGCCCCTTCCCCCCGCAGTGGGCTGCTCTGTGGTAGGGTGACCAGATTTCCCGATTTTATAGGGACAGTCCTGATATTTGGGGCTATTTCTTAAAAGGCACCTATTACACACACACAGGGCCGTCTGTAGACAGTGTGGTGCTCTACGCAGCCCCAGGCCTCCGTGGGGCGGTGGGGCTGTGCCCAAGGTCTGTGGAGGGAAGGAGCAGGCTTGGGGGGCAGAGGGGAACCACCCCCCAGCACTACCGGCAGAGTGGGTTGGGGCCAGGTCACTCCACTTCCCGCCACCCGGTGAGTGCAGGGCAAGCCTGACCCCTGCTGCAGTTCCCCAAGTTGTAGCTCATGGGAAGGGGTGGAGCAGGGGCAGATCAGGGCCAGGGGCTATGGGGACGGGGTGGAGTGGGCACAGGGCAGGAGCGGGGACAGCTTGCCTGGCCGGATTGGGCTGGCTGCTGGAGCAGCACTAGGGTGACCAGATGTCCTGATTTTATAGGGACAGTCCGATTTTTGGGTCTTTTTCTTATATAGTCTCCTATTAACCCCCACCCCCTGTCCCGATTTTTCACATTTGCTGTCTGGTTATCCTAAGCAGCACAGAGCTGCATAGGGCACCAGGAAATTTGGGCCAATTTGGTGCCCCAAATTTCCTGGTGCCCTACGCAGCTGCGTACTTTGCATATGGGTAAGGATGGCCCTGCACACACACACCCTCTGTCGTGATTTTTCACACTTGGTATCTGGTCATCCTACTCCATAGTCACCTGTTTTCTCTCATCTTGTTCTGGGCTTGTCAAGTTTTGGGACAGGGACTGTCCTTTTATCTGGTGTACTGCACAATGGGGTCCTCCTCGGCCAGGACTGCGGCTCTAGGTGCTACTGCAATGTAAGTAATTATACACAAAAAACTATCTTAAGGTTACAAAGCCAAGCCCTCAGAGAATGCCAGACTTAAGGTTGTCATTGGGCTACTCAGTAGTAAAGTTAAGCATACACGTAAGTGTTTGCAGGATCAGAGTTTACAATCTTTGCTACAAGATGATTTTTATTCATGTTATCGTTTTTCATGTTACTGTCCTTAATCAACCGATCCGTTATTTTTCTTGCTAGTTTCTTCAGTCCTCCCCCTCCTCCCTGCTTTTTCCACAATATTCTTGCAGAGGACAACAATCCCTTCAACACATTCAAAACTTGGGATGTGCCTCTTATGTTTTATTGGCTGATACTAAAATAATATGGCCCCATATTATTTTAGTATCCGCCAATAAAACATAAGAGGCACATCCCAAATTGTGTATATATAGTTAATTAGGACATTTGCAATCAAAGGAACTTTCATGTGTGAGGGTAGTTCAAAACATTGTGTTGCACTTTGCCATACACTAAAGTGTAATTATCTCCAATAACTGTACCATACTTTTTAAAAGACGTGTTATAATTGCCCCACCACAATGCTATTCATGTCATATCATCTCTTAGAAAGGGATCACTTCACATGTTGAGGTTTATTTTGCTCTTAGCAATGATGGGAAAGAGAAGCAGGAAGAGGGCTGAGATTGGGCCTAGACTAGAGGCATTTTCTAGCTACATTGCCAAAAAGGAACACTAGATGGTGCTGTGAGCACACTAATGTTTTCTGCATAGCTCATGCTGTATTTTAGAACATCACCTTAGTCTCTAACCATAATGAATAAATTAGATTTCATAGATGCTCACAATGAGGGTTTCATCAGAGAGCCCTGTAATATGATTTAGCAGCCAGCAAATTGCAATTACCTTACAAAACAATACAAAATATCTGCTCATTCTTTTCAAATTGATTTGGTGAAGTGGAAAGGCACTTTGTATGTCTGCTATTGTGCACACTGAAATACAGAAATGTGACCTTACATACAGAATAACCACAAGTGGAGCATGGATTGTTTTATTACAACCCATCATGAAGCTCAATAGCTAGTCTATTAGTGAGACTCAGACATTCTTTCTATACATTTCCTAGCATTTAATCTGATAGAGCTTTTTTCCACTGGTTTAAGCTTGGGCATGTGCATTTTTGATCATCTGCTTGAAAAATTAATGATCTGAATAGTATTTACTAAAGAGAATCCAAATACACCTGTATACCCGCTTCTATGTGGGGTTGGTCCCATGTGTTCACTCTTTTGTTATATGAGGGAACAATGCACAAGTGATAGTTCTGAGAGTGCATTTTACAAGATGTTTAGCAACAGAGAACTAGCCTCATACTAGGGGGTCTAATCTTGGAATTCCTTATTCAGTTTTGATTGCAATAGGGCTTTGGACTAAGTAAGGACTTCAAGATGGGGCCCATTGAGGCTAACACAGAAAGGCTCCTGATGTTACCAGTTTTGATTCTTTAAAATTGTGTGCTCTTTCCTTCTGTGGTATTCCATCTATTTCTACTTATGACAGTGTTCTTAAGAAGGAAGTACTGGAGTCTAGACAGTGATTGTGCACTACTAACTGCCTATGTCACCAGAGAACTGAGGGAGGGGGAAAAAAGTACCTACCAAGGGGCTTGAATTTTCATCTCCTAGCACCTGGTGGTGTATTTTAATACCTATGCTAAATAGGTGTAAAATGCTTCCAGATCAGGGTGGTAACATTACATTCTCTCTTTGCACAGCTGAGTAGCACCACACAAGGTGCAAAGAAGTGAAAAATCAGGCTGTCTGAAGTATGAAACTTGGTCATATACTCTACAGAAGAACTTGGTTTGAGTTAATAGTGACCAGACAGTTGTATGCATCAAATCTTACCATACTTTCTAAAAGCCAATTACCATTGGTGACAATGTATTTGCTTTTCCTTACGCTGATTGCTGCGGCATTTAGTTAAAAGTTGGGATGGGAAGTAGTTGGTTTGATTTTCTTTATAATCTTCAATGGTAGGAAAGAACAAAGGTGCCCCTAGAAATTTTTCACAGGGTATGCACAACTTAACTACAAAAGGATCTCTCAAAACTGTGTGACTGGGCAACAAAATGGCAGATGAAATTCAATGTTGATAAATGCAAAGTAGTGCACATTGGAAAACATAATCCCAACTATACATATAAAATGATGGGGTCTAAATTGGCTGATACCACGCAAGAAAGAGATCTTGGAGTCATTGTGGATAGTTCGCTGAAAACATCCACTCAATGTGCAGCGGCGGTCAAAAAAGCTAAGAGAATGTTGGGAATCATTAAGATAGGGATAGATAATAAGACAGAACATATCATATTACTGCTATATAAATCCATGGTACGCCCACATCTTGAATACTGCATGCAGGTGTGGTCGCCCCATCTCAAAAAAAGATATATTGGAATTGGAAAAGGTTCTGAAAAGGGCAACAAAAATGAGTGGGTGAAACTAAGGACAGGGCAAACTAAGGAGGCCTGAGTTCGATTCCCAACTCTGCCACTGGTCTGCTGGATGACTTTGGGCAAGTCTCCTGGTACCTCAGTTTCTCCCCCCCCCCCCCCCGGTGTAGAAAACCTGCAGCACTTAAGTCCCATTTAAGCACTATTTCAAAGTCTTAAGTGGTGGATTATCTCTGTGTTGGCCCACTGCAGAGGGATCAGTGTCATCCCATATTCTTGGACCCCTCCCAACTCCTTATTGTGCAGCAGCATCCTCTGTCTTTCTCTCTCTATTGAGCTACTAATTCAAATGAACTCGATGGTGAACTATGTGCCTCAGTGTTCACCAGGGAGAAGGGAATGTGATGGTGATAGGTGCCAGAAAGAGCGAACTCTCCCAAAGTGAAGAATATGATATACCGCTGGCTATCAGGATGATGTCAGTACTGGAGACTGATTAATCAGAACATCTGCAGCCTAAGAAAGCTCCAGATGGAACTCATTACAGAATTCTGGAAAACGTGTCAGAGATAGGGGGCAGACCGGTTAGCTGGAGCAGCTTGACAATGTGCTATTGAATTTCCTTTCAAAGAAACATATTGGTGGAAGCTTGCTACTCAGTCTGATTTTCAAACAGTTTCCTTACTGCAGTTATCAGTCATGCTGCCAGATCTGCTGCTTCTGAATTGGTCCTGCCAAATAGGTCCCTTTGTCCATCACTGTGACAGGAAAGCTGCTGAGCTAGTACCAACTACAATAAGGAGTTTTTTAGGACCAGGTCAGTGACTTTTAGGTAAGCACTGGAGATCCAGATATGAATTTCAGATATGGGTTCTTTCCCTTGGAGGCAGCAGATGCCAGGAGCATTTTGCAGGAGATACTTCTGGAAGGCTTAGCATGGGGCAGGGAGGGGGGAAAAGGAATACATACAATCTATGTCTGCTTCCTAGCCCCAACATCCCCAGTATTCCATGAGAACATTCACAGTGATGTTAGGGGAAGAGTAAATAAAATCCCTGCTCTTCCTATGAAGTAACTCCTGGGATTTGATTGGATTTGAGATGCACCAGGAAGGTTTTCCTGAAAGTGGAAAGTAATTGGAAAACTCTACATGAAAGAGACTGAACTAACGCACACACCTAGATAAGATACTGTTGCAGATGGTGTGAAATGCTAACAATTCAATTCCATTAGTGCTGTGTTGGGGGGCAGGGAAGAGACTACACAATGCATTTAAATGTGTTATGGGTTGTACTCTTCAGAAGGACCAATTCCTACT